TACTGGAAAGAAAATTAACTCTATCCCAGTTGAAACCAAGACAGTAAATCAAAGGCATTCCCCTACATAGCTCTCAAGGGGCTAGACAGTTCTTGTTACCTTGGTGCAGTTATGCAGTGGCTCAAACAGTACCATGCTGCCTCTGCTCTGCTACAACATGGCTGTACGTTCAAGGCAGCTGTTAAATGCTAGGGTGAAGGAAGCAGACCATCACTGTGAGCACAGCAAATATTTGGATTTTAGCCAAACATTTGCTAGAAGACCTGGACACTCCCAACAGCTCAATTCCTGTCATACTGCTCCACCCCAACACTCTTCCCTCCATGCTGCTCAAATATACAGCTGCTCTTGCTGTCTGATCAACAGGCAGCACCCTTCATCTCTAAATGCCTCCCAAAAACCCACAGTGCCAGCCAACTCTCTCTCATCTGTGAGCTCCCTCTCCTAGTTAACTAGGCACTGTTTAAAAGCACCTGACTTTGAGTAAGTACATGCACAGTTCTGTACATTTATGAGGAAGAAGACAAGGTCAAAAAAAAACCAGACCTCACACTTGGGCTGAGGAGTTGTCACTGGACTTCAGACCCACTACAGTCCACTTCACCACTCTGGCAGCCCTGCAGAGCACACCCACCCCTGGCAAAGCCCAGCTTCGCTCTGTGGTGTTGGAGCTGCCACAGTGTCACCAATCTCTAACCATTTCTCTGAACCTCAGAAACTCCCAATTTGAACAGGAAAGCAGCTTACCATCTATCCCATTTCAAGGCAAACAAAAAAAGATGCCTGTACTAGTCATAATTAGACATCTCCTCAAACAGTGTTCTTTGAAATGAAAATTAGAAATACAGAAAGAAGAAGAAAAAAAAAAGCTCTATATTTATTTTCTTGAGAAAGTTGCTCGTATCTGAAACTACTGGAGTATAATACAAATATTTTTTCTTACAATTGGAATGTCAAATAAGCAGCACTTCAAAATGCAAACTACACGTCCAGCTCCTTATTTACCCACTGACTATCTGAATTTGAATTTTAGTGCAGTACTGGCTTCTCACCAAACATGTACTACAGTATTATAAACCCACTTAAACCAGCCCTTCCGCAAGGCAGGCCAATCTGACTTGTGAACCTCCGTTTTCCTTCTGCTCACATTATATTTGTAAATGAACTGCTGAAAAAAGGCACAAAACATGAAAATGAACTCAGTTTCTGTCCTGTTTAATTCTAAACTGCATGGGATTACACCAGGCATGCTTGTCAGTTATTTTTTCCCTTTCAATGTTTGGTTGTTAAAATAATGAAGAAATATTTCTGGTTGGTAAATAACAATTCCAGTGCCAAATGCTAGTACAAGGTACTGGAGCAGCTGTGACTGTGGTAAGAGTCCACATGGATTAGAATAAATACCCTTTATTATTATAGGACAAATAACATAGCCATTGTCAGATGAACTTCACAGAAACTACATTCACCAACACTGCATTTAGCTGGCTGAGAACTGCTGACATGAAACAGCTACATTCAAGCTAGGTTTGTCACATCTCCAGTTAACCTTTTCAACCAAAACATAGTATAATTTCTTTCTTATTATGAAGTATTTGCTTGCTTTTAAAGAAAAGATCAATTTAGGTTAATGATGGTTTGTCTGGTTATGTTTCAACTCAATTAACAGACAATTTAGGCTGGCAAGTTCCAACTGATAACCAGGCTTTGGCAAAAGTGAGTTAATAAGTTATTTGACCACACACAAATAGGACCTAACAACGTTTAGCTCTGAGGAATAGTTATTTCTTTGCCAACTTAATCATAAATATCAGTAATAGGATTTGCCCTATTGACCATCATATATTTCTAACAGTTTTTCCTTTGTGAAAACATATGCAGACAAATTTGATTCCTGTGCTGTTTAAATACTGTAATTACAGAAAACTCATAGTTATAAATGCCAAAATTTGCAATGAAAGCCCCAGCCAGGAAAATATTTTCCAGTGTTATTTTCATGAAGTTCTTCTTGTCAAGCAACAGAGTTTACACTTGCTGTTCTTAATCAAACAAAAACTTAAGAAAAATCGGGCACACTTAAGGTTACTGGTCTTAAAGAATATATGTGGGAAGGGTATGGGTGGGTGTGGGTGTTCTGTTTGGTTTTCAGCTAAACTATGGGAACAACAGACTTTAAAACCAATGGACAGAGCCTCAGAAGAGGAAAAGGATGGTTCTGGACTTATATTTTCTTCAAGTAAATTTGAAGAACCTTGCTTGAAAAACTGTAACAAGCACCATAAAACCTGGATTCTAGCTTCTCATCCTTGGACTTTTCCTACATTCAAGTAAGTGGCTAGGAAAAGTCCAGATCTTCCAGTTTAGGCTGGCATCACAGCCACTTCTACATGAGGACACTCATTACTCATGACATACAACAAAATTACATTATAGACACTTAAGGTATACATGGGCTGTTTATAACAACCAGCCTTTTAGGACTTAGTATTTGTGAAGCAATTAAAATTAAATGGTAACAGTTTTAAAATGCTGGTTCTACAAATAATCCACAGCATGCAGAAGACTGAGGTGTTATATTTTCTTACTATTAAACTGAGTAAACATTAGTTCAGTTTATATTTATGCCCCATGTGAATCTGGGAAGGTTTCAAGCATGTAATTCCAAGATAAAATTTGAAAAAACAAATTAAAATAATTATATATTCAGATGTACTAAAATATCTAGTAACATAGAACATAGCATCTATATATTTTATGGTCCTTATGCTTTATTAGATTTTCCAAAAATCCAATTCAATTAACATTAGCACTAGCAATTAGCATGCTGCCAGGAACGTCAAGATTTGTGTCCAAATAACTCTGCATGCAATCATTGTGGCTGTTCATGTTCTTCTGAAAGAAGATTAAAAACATGATTGAAGAGGTTGTTCATGTTTTACATGGTTTCTTTTCTTTTAGATGCACAAAAGCTCATTTTGTTGATCCATCACTTTTCTGATTAGTCTGATGAATGAACCATTGACTTAAGTCTGCATACTTCTGTGGTGTAACACGACTGTATTTCTTCAACAATTAATCAAAGACAATGACATACTTAGGAAGATACCATTTAGATTTGCTTATCAGTCTGCTTATCAAGAATAAATTCTCAAGCTCTCGAAAATGAAATATTCCCGCACAAAACGATATGGTCTTGCTTTGTTTTAGTATCATTTGACTGCCTAAAACCACTTTATTTTCAGATGGCATGAAAAGCTATAAATTGTTTCTTCTTTTCACTGGCAGTTTAAATAAATTGATGGCCAAGACCAGTTTAACTTCATTTTCTTTTTAATTAGTTACAACTTCTTTTTCAAGGCTTATACCAAAAGCTGTAACTTTTTTTCCCAGATACTGTGTAGCACTGGTCTGTATCATATAGTTGCTTTTACCTTTTTACTAACTCACAATAAAAACTATCACCACTACAAAATAAAAAACACTTTGTAAAAAAAATCTTGCAACCTTATAAAAAAATAAGGGTAATTTTTACTATTTATACAAAATAAATATGTTCAAAGCCCTTTTTAAGGTATGCAAGAAACACTGCTAAACAGAGCATGAAGTTACATTAATCCGTTATCTTTATGCAAGGGTTCATAACTAAGTAGCATCTGTCTTAGAACTTGTTCCCATGGATTTTAACATTGCAACTTTAAGATCTAGAAATAGAAAATGAGTGGCTATTATATTATTATAAAATATTCAGATTTAAATTAGAGTTTCCTCATACTGCATATGGGCTTTACAAATATTCAAAAGGAGAAACAGCCTTTACCCTCTTGCAGTTGAGGAACGCTTCTGTTGCAGAATTTCAGCTGGAAATCTCAAATAAAGCTTACTCCCATCCTCTCAAATGAAAAGACATTTTAATACAAAAGACAGGACAGCTTCCAAATAGTTTTAGCTTCAGTTAAAATATTTCTTTTTAGATAAGAGCAAAGGTTGCATAAATCCATAAATGTCAGGCAGGATTTTGCCTGTTCAGCTTCTCCTGTAATCACAGTGATCCAAGTCCTTTTCCATCCATTGCTCCCACTCTCTCAGCCTTAAGACTACCTGAAATCCTGCTTATCCTCATGTTAAAAGACAAAGCCCAACCCTGCAAGGACTACCATCTAGACTTCTAAGAAGCACACCGGTATATGGCACTCCTTGATCTTGGACAGTCTAAATATTTTGAAACACTAAACCTTTAAAATTAGCGCAGGTTTGATAGAGTTTTTGGTTTTGATGTTGGGGTTTTTGTTTGTTTGTTTTATCGCTCTAAAAATCACTGACTTAATGATGAAGAAAAAGGCATTTGGTTTCCTTGGCAGCTGAAGTCTGCTCACAGTTAAATTGTACATAGAGCCTTGTGCAGGAAAGACTATTGCTTTTCAGCTGCTGTTGGCTCAATTATGTAGCTTCCAAACAAAGGAAAAAGCTGGGTGTTAGGAATTTATTTCTAAACTTGCCCACAACCAAAAGAAACTACAAAATTCCCCATCCACATAAGAGAAGGCAAAGCTTTGGAGTACACTCAGAAATAACCTTCATCAGCTACAAACGCTGTTACTACACACATGCAATCAACTGTGTCGATAAAGCAAAGTCTATGTTATTTAGCTATTACACAGCCAAAAGGGTAGCATTAGGTTTATTTCAGAGCACTCAGACTCATGTTCCTATAATTATTAGTACTTAAGAGTTTGAGTTATATTTCCCCTCAGCAACTCTACTAAAATGAAGTGGATTTTTGCAAATGACACACTGCTTGTCTTTCAGTCACAGCATAATGCAGTCTAGGCAATAAATTCTTTCCTACTGTGTGCTTTGCAATTACAATTCCTTACTGATACCATAACTCAACATGGTAATAAAAAATAAGCAGTATTTGTCTAGTGCCTGTGGATTAAAACTCTTCTTACACTGCTGAAGCAAAGCAGAAGTTAGCTGTTTCTAGAGGTTATGAAACATACCCAAACAAGGAGCAACAGATTACTTTTCACTGTTCCACAGTAGCCCAGCATTCCAACCATGATGAGGAAACAGCAGACTGCAATCATGACCGGGTGGACCACAGGAAAGTAAGTCAAAATGACAGCCTCCTCCACCCTAAAGCCAATCAGAACCATAATCAAAAAAGCATAATAACACAAAAATGACATGTAATATATATGTAATACAGACAGCAAAATGAAAACAGTGGATTAGAAGATGAGTTCTTTCCAGTGCCTTGCACATTTCAGAGAAATCTATTCTACATGGTTTTAAAGTCAAATGCTGCATTCAGGTACCAGAAAGTTATGCATCATCTGAAATCTCTTTGGAGAGAAGGTGATCTTTCTATCCTGTACTTGCACAGTACATCGTACAATGAGGCCCTGTTCCATCAATAGGGCTCATAAGCACTACTGTAATAAAACTAACAGGATTTCCAAATCTCTGAACCGAATAAAGTATTTAAAACTAAACAGTAATATAATACAGTTACATTTGGGCAAAGGGCCAAAAAATCGATCCCTATCAGAAGAGAAAGGCATAGGAATAAAACAAGACTGAATTCGTATCTTTCCTGCTTCTCTAAGTTCAACTGATACCAGAAATGGTGGCAAAAATACACCTTTTAAAAAAAAAATAACTAGCTCAACTGAAGGTTTCTTAATTCTAGAAATCTTAATTAGGAAAATTCCCATACAGAATGAACAACATATACTGCAATCAATCACCCACACAGATTAACAGGTTTAAGGAAAGCTTTACCTTGTTTCTGCAGTTAAAGTGAGAACATTATTCAGGTAGTCTCTCATCCAAGCAGAAACACCTAATACGCTGATGGACATCAACTAAAAAGAAAAGAAGTTATTTATCATGCATTAAAAAAAAAAAAATTGCAAGATCATTCATAACTATGTAGACCAACCATCAGTAATATCTTTCATGCTTTCATTTATCCAAACCACATACTGTTCCCAAAACTGTACTTCTATATGTTTAGAGCTGGGTTTTGCCCAAGTATTTAGGGAGACAGTGACAATAATCTTCTCTTCAGCATGCATAAATAATGCCTGGAATAACTTCTCTTCCATCCAGCGATGCTACTGCTGGCTCAAGTCCCACCACTGCACAGTTTACCACAGAAACAACAGATAAGGTTTTGCTAAAATCAGTGACTCTTTCAGGACTCACAGTGACACCCACCAGTCTGTACGAAACTATGACGCCATGCTGAGGTACACAGCCAGTGAAGAATAAGCAGAAGCCCCATACAAGATACGACAGTACTGATACATTGACACATACAAGAGGAGATGAGGAGACTTATCTTGCAGTTAAATTCAGAAGAACATAATTATTTTTGCTCATTTAGACAAAGTCACACCATGAACACTATGCCATGGTTTCCTGAACCACAAGATGAGAATAAAACTCACTGCACTTCAATTACAAACCCCAGACCATCAGAGTGGCATAGTACCTAACCTGCCACATAGAACTGCCACCACCTCAACAGACCTGGATTTCTGTCACCCAATACCACCGTGTACTCCAGCACACCTGGGATCTACCAGTGCTCTGGCCTCTGATTTTCATGAGAAGCCAAACCTAAACAACATGGCCACAACATACCTACCACACCATGACAGCATCAGCTCTTCTGCTGCTGTACCCGAGGCACTGCTAGAGGACAAATTCACTTGTATTTTGCACTGGGTTAGATGAGCCAGTTTGCTCTTCCTCCTAGAGAAGGGACCATGGAACAGCATGGAACACCCCACTTTGCGCATGCTCTCTGGCCACAGAAGCACCATGTGTCCTCCTGCACACACAGGACAGCTGGAGCACAGCTCCCCAGACACAGGGTGAAAGATGCAGCTACAAACTCCTTCAAGGACAAGAGGGAACCACTAAGCTTTTCTACAAAATGGAGTAAAGTTAAGGTTACTAATGCTGCTTGTTAGTTCTCAAATTATTTCAGCTGTTTTATTACACCCAAAGGAGAATTTAGGAATATCAATCTCACATGGGCACCTAAGCCTGAACCACAACTCTAGGGCTGAATCTGGCAGACTCAGGCCTTCAGCAGCACCACTGCCTAACTGAGGGAGGGAGACCTAAGCTGGTCTCACTGAATACTGCTGGCTCTCCTGAATACTACTGTTTTCATGCACTGTACAGGCTTATGCCAGGAAACCTCAGCATTGCACTAACAGCTTCTTAAATCAGTGAGAAGTGCTAATCTCCCCTGTTGCCTTCAACAGCTAGCTTCCCACATGCTCTCATGTTTCCCCAAAGTGTTATGAAGAACAAGTTAACTGGTTCAAACCTAACATGTAAGAAAAAAATCACTGTGTGTCCTTACTGGCTCCACTGTCTGCAGCAGGTCCACAGCAGGCTACTTCTGCCTTTAAAATTTCATGGGAAGCCCCACTGGCTACTCCATGGCTTCCTTCTGCTCTTCAACACGGACACACAAAGTACAGGCACTGCGTTGGCTCTGGGTGGTGCCAGCAAAAGCCCTAGGTGCTTGGCATGCTGCAAGCATAGTACTGAAAGCCAGTGCATGCTATTAAGTCTACCATGTACAGATACCGTTATGCTCTGTGGGATCTATTTTAGCTGGTAGAACAATAGGAGTAAAGAGCTTTTTCGGTTGTATTATCTGTAGGAAGCTGCAGGAGCAAGGAAAAGTAGGTGACTAGAATCTCCTAGATAAACCCCTCAACAATGGCCACCTCCTTGGAAGAAAGCATCAGGCAAATATACCATGCAAGCAATTAAAAACATTTCTAACACAAGTACAGGTACAAAGCCTACAAGCAGACAGACTGCCTTCTTATGGTCAAAAAGCAAGAGAACACATTTTTTACCCTCCACATCTCCCTGCAAGGCCTGCTGATACACAGAAAACATTAGCTTGCACTTCCACTCTGTTTAGAGTAAAATACTAAAGATAAATTTGGTTACTCTGCTTTGCAGCAGTGGTGCTCAGGAGTGAGAAGTCCATCAAAACCACACTCCCCAGCAACTCTTAACAAGACCCAGATGGCCCAGCTACAAAAACTGTATCAGAAAAATGTTCTCTTGCTAAATAATATTCTTCCTCCCATACCAGAATGATGGGCTGCCTAGTCAGCTCTCTGTTAGCAACTTGCAGGATGCACTCATTTTCTTTCAGCCTTCAATATGCAGCAATACAGTCCCACACAGCAAAACTTGGAAGAAGGCAAAAGTCTAATTCTTCAACAGAGGTCAAATTTGGTAGGAAAAAGGGTTACCACAAGGATTCTAGAGCCTGCAGGCGATTCAGAAACAACAGGGAAATCACAGAGCAACAAACTAAAAGGCAGAGGGGCAGAAAGGACTTTGTAGAGGTCACAAGAAATTAACAGTCCTGCCACTGAGGGATCACTCAGTTTGCTATAAGGACTTGCCTACAAATGCAAATCATAGAATCACAGACTGGTTTGGGTTGGAAGGGAGCTTGAAGATCTAGTTCCAGCCCCACTGCCATGGGCAAAAATCACGAAGGAGAAGGGCTATTTTCCTGCTTGAGTTTTCTCTCCCTAGGTATGTAATTTTGCCCACATAAAATCAGTAAGCAGAAAGTCTAGGCAGATACATCTTCAAGCTGTGGCCAACACATGACCACATGACTTCTAAAGAAACACTTAATGTCCGTATCATGGAACATGACTCCACTTCCACTTACCACAAACAGCAACTGGAAGAAAAAGACTGCTCACTTTCACCCAGGAAACATAACCTTCACCAATAATGTAACAACATGAACACTCTTTTAGTCTGTAAGAACAAGCTCTCTAAGAAAGGTCCCTCTATTCAAAAAGATTTTAGACATTTAGGTCCCCTGGCTGTTTTCCTTCAATGTAAATAGCTAACAGCCAATTACTACTGTATCTTGCTGGACGTAAATTACATGCAAGAAAATTCCCCCATAACCCCAGTGATAACCACGTTGCAGCTCACCTGCTCACCTGCCCTGTGCCCTGAACGCTCTCATCATCATTAACTCCTTCAGGTGTTACTGACTTCTGCTACACTCACAATACACATACAGTATCAATGCAAGAGCTAGTCCATCGTTACTCTGAAAACGTACATGCACAATGCCTTACTTCACTGCTGCACAAATGTTAGACACAGACTAACTGAGCAACACCATCTTGCCAAACAAATTCCTTGGGAAGCACCTCTGGCATCTTATTTTGAAGAAAGTCCAAAATAAATTATTACTCCAAGTGACCTGAAAGCCAGAGTGCTGTGACACACTGGATTCATGAGCAAGAAAGTCAGTAACACTTATCAAAGCGGAGCAGCATAAAGACATAACTCAAAGAACAGGCAAATATTCAAGAAGCTCCTCTTGAATGAAGGGGCACAGAGAAGAGCAAACCTTGATCTCGAAAAAGTAATTCTGCAAGAGGTTGATGACAAAAGGTACATTTTACAGCACATAATTTGGCAAGTGCTTGGTAGCTCTTTGCTAGCAAACGCGAAGTGCTGGGGAAAAAAGTCACGTCCCTTCCAATCAGCAGAAGTGAGCCTTTGGGCAGAAGCACCTTGCAGGGTTAAAGATGCATTTGCAACACCAGATAGTCCTGCGTAATCATGACTGATGTTTAGTTTAGTGACAAAAGATTATCAAGCACAAACACCCATCAAATGACTTGTTCTCCTGCTCCAAAGCCACAGCGGAATCACAAGAACACAACATGTGCCTGGCCTCCACAACCTCCCACTTATGACTCAATATGCATATGTGCTGCACTGTATAAGTGCTAAGCATCCTCAAGTGCCAGCTGACATCAAGGAGGCACCAGGCATACACCACTTCACACCACCTATGGCAGAGGCAGATCTTCAGTCAGCAGCACAGGAACTACACTAACACCAGCCATACAACGCAGCCCATGTGCTCAGTATGCAGAAACAGTAACAACCTCCCCAAAAACCTTGGTGTGCATCCAAACCTACCAGCAAATAACAGAAGTCACACTGCTGTAACTCATTGCCATGAGATTTTCAAGGAGTCATGGGCAAGGGCAAGGTTTTTGTGGTTTCATTTGGAAGATGGAAAAAGGCGGCCTTAAAAAAAGTGCAGCCCCTACTTCAGCCACTGTTTTGTAAACAATTCAGATGCAAATACAGTTAGAGATCTGTACCAAGAATCGGATAAAAGGACACAAGTTTATGAGAAATAAAACTACCAAGATAATTCTCACCACATTAGCAGTTACATCATTCACCCAAATGGTTTCATCCAAGCTTCTCTGAAGACAGTCTGCTGTGCTGTACACATAATATGATAGTAAGCAGTAAAACATGTTTATTTGTTGCAGCTGGCTGCACAAATCACTATGGTTTTCATTCTGAACTGTCACAGAATGTTATATAGCCATGAATGTGACACTGAAGAGTTTACAAAACTGCCTCTTGTCATACTCTACTTTAAATATATTTTCACACTGGCTAAACAAAAGTAATAAATAACATTTTTATATACAACTAATATGCAGATTACACAATAATATATTAAATTTCCAAACTTATCTTTAATGTAAAGTTTTTAAAGCTATTAGAGCTTTCTCAGACAACTGAGAAAGTCCGTCCAACAAAGGACTCAGACTATTGGGAGTGGCCATTTTCAAGCATAGGTTAAATTGCCTCTGGAATTCTTCTACATAAATTATGCATCAAAATGAAAATATAAAATCATATTTTATACATTAAGTATGTATTTTAAACCTACTCACAATGCCATACCTAAACTGAAAAAATAAATCTTCATTTTCAATTAATGAATGGACATGGATTTCTGTCTTTGAAGGAGTGAGACCAATTCCTGTTGCTATTTGCACACTTGTTTTCATTCTAACACCTTAATTTTTAATGGTGAAAGCTCCTATGCTCAAGTTTGAGCGAAGGGGTTTTCTCCATTATTCAGCTGGAGGAAAATTAAAAGTATCTTCCATACTGAATATCACACACCACTCTTTAACCGATGGGTTAAAGAACTTCAGGTCACACTCTGGTATCCACAAAAAGTGCTGACTAGCAGCACTACAGAGCAACTTGCTTTGCAGAAAAAGGTTTCCAGCTCTAAGGAAATTACTTCCAAGATATAACAACATTCATCAGAATACATCCTTTAATTTTTGTATGGAAATAAACCTTGAGAAAATTTTCCAGTTAAAACTGATTTGGGTAACCTGAGCTGAGACTTATCAAAGGGGGGTGGAGGGGGTGGGGAGAAACCACTGCAAGGTCATGAACAGAGCATACTGCAATGCTTTCACAAGATTTTCACAATTAGGTTAGATACTCAGATAACTGAACAAATACAGATGACTCAGATCTCAGGATAAGCAGACAACTACATTTTGGGGGGATAGAAGGGAGTTAAGGGTGGAGGAGAGGAGGATAAGAGGTCTGGTTTGTCTGTATTATCTGGCAAAAGCCTTTAAATGTTTAGAGAAAGAAGGGTGGTCTATAAAAAAGGAAATTTCCCTATTCCCCACTAAAGCACCTTTTATTCCACAGACATGCCAACATTTAATTTTAGCTGAGCTTCCTACACAGGGTTTAGCCTTGCTCTCCTCCCACTTGCAAACAGCTGAAATATTTACTTATTTGCACTTCGAATCTGGGTTTGCTTGCACAGCTACAACAGTGAGTTAACAACCTGCTCCATGTTTGGCTCAGGCTGGGACTTGCACACTTTGCAATAGGGCAACTGCTGGAGCAGTGAGAGCCTGATAATGGATCAGCCTCCTCGGGGAAGCAAGAAAGTTTTCCAGCAGTTGGCTGTGCAAGGCTCCTTCAGCAACACAGCGTAAAGAACAAATAAGAGCCGAAATATGCAAACAAGCTGAGGTACAGTTCATCTATGAGACAGTTCTACTGAGCGTCAGACCCGTATACCAACTTCTGGTTGTGTAGCACAAGTGTACTTTAAAAACAAAGAGGGATACAAAAGCATATGCATTTCTGCATTCACCCTCTCTGTGACTACCTAGGCACTGCACTTCTTGTTAGGACATAATTTGTGCCACTCTTTCCTCAAAAGCATTTCACTGTCAGGAGAACTTTTGCCTCTGGCAAGACACAGGCATGTGCTGCTAATCATGGGTGATTTGTAGCATTGCTCAGAGCTCAAGTCTCCAGATCTATATCATAAGCCACACACCACCATCAAGATGATATGCCTTCACATATACAAAATATACTCTCAATTTTCTTTCTGTAAGAGCTTGGTTTTGTTCACAGACTCTAGTCAACCTCACAGACGGCAGACAAATTATTTTTAAACCCAGGGTATATAACTGGAAGATTAGTATGAAAAAAGTGCAAGTATTTCCTATGATTCACAGGACCTACAATCAGCTGTTTGTGGGAACATCACTTAACTTCCCTGTTTTACATGTGAATACCTGTGAGCACATGAAGATGACTAAAATGAACCTGCATTTTTAATTAAATCACACATTCTGATAAAACTGCAGAAAATTAACTTATCCCCTATACTTCAGGAAATAGCTACAAGAGATTAAAAAATTGAGCCATGTCAAGTGTCTACCACAGACTCTCGATGGATGGGTATGGTGAAGAAGCAGTGCCTGGGAATGCCCAAATAACTGGGTAGCTACATATTACAAAGCGGTGATAAATTTGAAGGAAAAAAAACCCAAATGCAACTACCTTCAGGCCAGGTGGACCTTCCCAGTTCTGCTGGAGATCACAGCTTAGTGGTATAAGCATTTAGCTTGAAGTTTCTAATTCCTTTTGATCTGTGTGCTCAATCCCAGTCAGTACAGGTTTGTGCCTTCATCTTCAAGGTTGATACAATGAGTTCCACACAGTTAACCATAAGGATTACCCAAAAACTGTCTGTGGTTTTACTTATTTCTGAATGCCAATTAAGAAGTGTATTAATGTAATTTCTAACATTAGGATGGGGTCTGGTTTTATTTTTTTCTTTCCATCATCACATGAAACCACCCTTTTTCAGAACAGTTTTGCAGAGACTTGTCTATCAATTCACTGTTGACATGCAATGAAGGGTGAGCTTTAGCACCTACAAAGACACATGGGATAAAAAGGTTATATAGAGGTAGATGCAAAGTTGACTTTATGACTCTCAGTTATGGCTGAACTCTGCTTTACTTTATTAGGACATGGTCTAGTAATGTAATGACGTTCCATAAATAATGCAGCCCAAAGACACCAAAAAGTAAAAGATTTCTCAAAAAAACCAACAAAACAGTAAAAAACAAACAAACAAACAAAAAAACACCCACCCAGAATTAAAAGTATTTCTGGTCCTTTAAAACTTCTCCTGTACCTTGCTCTGCTGAACACATTCCTTTAAAATACACCATTTTCCCACAGAAGCCAGGGTTACTCTTGCATGGCTTTTGGGTATTTTCTTTATACAAGAATGCTAAGAAAATCAGGTTTCAATTACCCAGGTCTACACTGCAGTCTCTAAAATCAGAGTATATTAGACTAGAATGAACCTATGTTTACACTGCTACAGGTACCCAGCCAGGCAGTGTTCATTTCAATGGGTATCATTAGTCACTTAAAAAACTTGACACGAACTCTATTAATTTGAAATACCTACAAACCCCACCAACAGGAGTGGAAGTTGGAAAGCAGCAGAAACACAGTCTGGGTCCACGAAAAGAAGGATAGACTGATTTCTTTCTCACGTCACAGTAGATTTGAAAAACTGAAGCAAAAAATTACAAAATTCAATAGACACATTTGAGGTTGGAAAAAGCAAGGAATACAATACCACTGCTTCCAACCACTCTTAGTGCTCCTTTGCACAACACTAACATTCTTTTGTTCTGAGTTCCCAGGTGGTACACCTAGCCAAAACTGGAAAATTTAAGTGTGCAAGGTATTCTGAACAAAAGGAAAACTAACTGGAAGCTTGCTCCTTTTTCATATCATGTGACTTTTTCTTTACAGGCACAAATTCAAGATAGATGCAAAACAATTTCCACTACCTGCCAGGAGGGTTTATTGGCTGCAATCACAGGATTGAAATTACATGGTACTGCTACATTTGTTAACAAAAGCTTAGGCACTGCTTAAGAGAAAAAGCACATCCCCAGGTAGAAAAACCTCACAAGGTGAAGGATGTGGTAACATTGCTGGTTTGGCTCAAATATCCACTGACACTATTAATCATTGGTTAAGAGATCCTTACCACCTATGACACAGTCATCTGCAACTTACAACCTTGATTTGTCCAAGCCACTACAGTACAATCATGCCCAATTACAAGGGACACAATGGCAGCTGCTCCTCCTTTCTGCCTCACATGTTCACCAGAAGAAAAAAACAAGGTAAGCTGGCTGTTTCCTGAAGACAGAAAGTCTATACAGAGCTTTTCCTGCACAACAGCTAGACTTTCTTTAAAAAATGGGAAAGTTGACAAAATAATTGTACCTCTTTTACTTGCATCTACTATCACTACGAAGTTCACCTATTTTGACCATAATTTTTTGAAAGGACACACGTGGCTGAGCTGCCAAGTAAAACAGGCCTGTGCCTCTCAAAGTTATTGCTTTGCTTAATCACCTCCCTTGTAAGCATCCAGGAGACTGAACTTTTCCTGCATTCAGCACCATTTTCTAGTTCCTGTTTTAGCACAATCCCTGCGGGCCGCTGCTCTCCATAATCTCCTGTGTTATGCCTGTGCCATTATTATGGGCTGGCCATGTTCTATGACTGAATGTCTCCCCAGCATAAATGTTTATAAAAAGAGACCACGGCAAAGTAGAGAAGAACAATGGCAAGACGTGATGAGGAGGATTTCTGTCAAGACAAGTTATACAGTGCTCAAAATGAAAGAAGATGCTCATATTGCATACATGACTGCTAATGAGCTGGAGCAGCATCAAGAGCTTGCCGATACAGAAAAGCCCCATCAGAAGTCTCATA